CAAACTGAAGCTGTGAACAATCTCAATCTCTTCACCAACCATCCTGATGCTACCGATTGGTCCAGTGGTGAGAATTTTTGTCTTCTGAACATTGAGCCTCAGTCCATATTGAAGGCTGCAGTCCTTGACCCTCTGCAGTAAGTGCAGCTCTAACTTAGAACCTTAAAGAATCCAATTTATTATTCCATCTTATTTCAGTATGAACAACAGAAGAGAACACTAATCAACTGTTATACACATTGAGGGCAGGGAGCAGAAAACAAACTGGACAAATGCTGATAGACAGTCAAAAGTACACAGTGAAGCACATGAAAATGTTGACTTAATATTATAAAATGTCCAGAAATTAAAGCCATGACAGAACAGCCTATGTCAGAAATGGAATAGTTCAGAAATAAGTTGACTAAACCCTAAGATGTGAAAATAACCTCCACAACCTTTTGAAGTTACTTGGGGGAAAAGTCAGAAATGAAGACAAAACTGGAGGGTGAAACCAAGCTGCTCCCTAGAGACAAAGATTTTGAAGCTCCATCTCACAGACTTTGGGCATGTAGACAGGAGGGGCCAGTCCTTGGAGAGGGACATCATACTTGGAAGGATAGAGGGACAGTGTAGGAGAGGAAGACTCAGATGAGATGGATTGACTCAGTGAGAGGAGCAATGGGGTTAGGTCTTTTGGAGATTGTGAGATTGATGCAGAATTCAGAGCTAATGAATGGTAGGGTTACTGTGAGTCACAGGTGACTAGATGGCACATCACAACAATATGATAGGTACTATAAATGAAAAGATAAAAGGAGGAAAGAGAATATTCTATAGAAGACAGATGAAGATTGAACATACATGTAATTGGCATTCCTGAAGAAATTAAAGACACAGAACTGGGCAAACATTTAATTCAGAAGTAATTTCCTAAAGTAAGAAATTGAATCCTACATACTGCAAAAACATACGATGATCCTGGAAAAATCATCTCATCATAGTGAAGTTCTCCCTCTCTCCCTTGAGTTGGTACCATCTCATAACTGAACCTCCAGAGAGTGTTTATGACCATTAATCACAAAGAGAAATTTGCCCATCTTTCTTCTGTGGAGGAGCTGGTGAATTCAAACTACCAGGGAAGTTAAGCATAGGCAGAAGGATCAGTTATTTTATACAGGGTAGAAAATCAGATTGGGATGCTACTTCTTGGCCACAAACTTCACAGAAGGCTGTAGAACAGCATATTTAAGATATTCATGGACAGAAATTGAAACAGATTTTAGAAAGGTAATCTGGAGCTCTGGTGGCCTAGTGGCAAGAAGCTGCAGTGCAACCAGAGGTGAGCGGTTCAAATCCACCAGATGGTTTGCTGGAGAAGGTGGGACAGTCTTCTCTACCAGTCAGATCTGATTTGATGTTACACACACAAAAACTAATAATAAAAAGAGAAGGTCCCATTCATTTACCTTGCACTCTGCTGCTTGTTGAAGTTACAAAAATGATAAAAATAAAAAAAAAAGAAATAGTTAATCTGGCTTTTAATTAGAAAATGCATTATGAGCATGCAAGTAATCAGGGTGAAAAGTCTGAAAATAGGAAAAGTTTTTTCCAATTTACTCAGAATCCACAAGTAATAAGATAGTAATAAATATCTTGATAATATAAACTTTTACTGTGTTGAATATGTAGATAACTTTACCATAAAATAAACACTAAAACTTGATTAAAGTAAAAAATGCAAATGGCAGTCTGAAGAAAAAAAAAAAGTAACTTATGTCCGAGGGAGGGCCAATTATATCCTTATCCTATAAATTGCTTCTGAAATTGAGAAGAGAAATGCCAGTTGGCAATTGAGAATATAGAGCTATGAAAACCTTTTAGAAAAAGAAAAAATAAAAGCCTTTCAACATAGGAAAATATATTCAATCTTACTTACAAGAGAAATTACAATTAAAGCTACACTAAGGTATCTTTTTTCATCTATTAGATTGGCAAATATACCCAGTTTTGATAACATTTTGTTGCCAGCATTGTACAGTGTGAAAACAGCGTACTCAAGCTTTATTACTGGAGGGAAATTTGGCATCTGCTATCACAATTACTTATGCATTTATTCTTTGGCTCCAGCATTCTACTTTTAAAAATCTAAGGCTAATTGACAAAAATTGTCAATAGTATTTGCATAAATACTCATCAGTGTTTACAGTCTAGCAAAAGACTAGAAAGAATCTGAATGACCAATAAGAGGAGATTGGTACAATAAATTACTCTGTTTACGTGATGGTAAAATGAATGACTAAAATTTGGTGCATATTTATTGAACAAGCATACACATATATAAGTGTGTCTGTCTCAAATCACGCCAGACTGAGGAAGACCAAAGAAAAAGAGGCATATCTGAAATGTTACCTTGTGAGGTTACTTAAAATATCATGAACTTCCAGAAGAATGGAGAAGGTCACCCACAGATACCAAGGAATTCTTAGATGTCAGAATGGCAGGACTTAGTCTCACACACTTTGAGCATGTTATCATAAGGGACTGATCTCTGGGGATGGACATGACGTTTAGTGAAATAGGTCAACAAAAAAGGATGACAGTTCATGAGGTAGATTGACAGAAGGACCGCAACATTAGATTGAACATGGCAACAAGTGTGAGGATGGTGCAGGAGCAGGCAGTGTTTCACTGACTTGAACATCCAGTCAGTTTGAGTCAAAACCTACACAACAACAAACGGAAAAAAGCTGTGAAATGCTAAGTCAAAAACTAGTCAAACTGATTACCAATAGAGTTTAGAGGGTAAGGTTACATAGGCATATAGTTTTTAAATGTTTTGGTTTTGTTATTTTGTATACTGTAGCATCAAGGATGACTTGCAGTAAACCTATGTGATAGAGTAGACTTGCCCCATTGAGTTTCTTAGCCTGTCATCTTTATTGGAGCAAACTGCCAAGTTTGTTCTTCCTCAGAGCTGCTGATTGGTCAGAACTGCACTATTCGATAGTTTCTGCTATGGCTTGAGGCTTGGGGTTTTTGTTAGGTGTCCCCCCCTTAAAAAAATTTAAATAGGAAAAAAAATAATAATGACTTCCTGAAAGTGAAAACAGACAGACTGAAACTAGCTTTGTACCAGGTTTGAGTCATAACCACAGATGAAAGAATTACATCCGGTGATTTGGAAATACTACATTGTGACTATCAAGATTTGGTGACGTATGTTTTAAAAGGCAAAGAATGACAACAAAAGTTTGAACTACTTCTAGTAGTTGCATTGTTAGTATTACTGTTGGTGGTGTTTTTAAAATTATTGCACAGATTTCTGTAGAATAAAACAAGTAATTATGTAACGCCATTGGGAATACCAAGTAAGAGCAAAGAGTTGCAAAGTCAAATAAACTGAATTGCCATTTCCAACCAAATTGCAATAATGGACTGGATTTACTCTCCTATTTGAAACAACTAAAAAATTAGGCAAAAAATTGAAGGTGCAATATTTTTTCCCACTCAGAAAAAAGTTTATTAGCATGATTAAAAACATTTTCTTGAATAATGACAGAGATTGATTTTCTGAACATGGCAGAGTAGTATCAGTGGCAGTACCTTAGAACCAATATCTGGAAGTGCATGGACAATTTTACTGCCTGTCTTCATGTTACTGAAAACAATCCACGCATCAGCTTCCACGTGGAGTCATGACTATTGCTTTGTCTGGGCCAGCTTGGTATAAACGAATGGCAGAATACAGGGCTCCAGTACAATGTCATCAGCTGTTTGAATTTGCTGGACCTCTGTGCAGTCAGCCCCTGACTTTGTTAAACCATATGAGAAGCTTCTTGGAGCCAACTAGAGGGAGGGTCATCCTTGCCCTCATTTTGTCCTTCCATCCCTATGTGGAAAATGTAGGTGGCAAGTGGGAGAAACCATCCGAAATTTTGGAAATCAAGGGGCAGAATTGTGAAGAACAAGTGAACAGTCTACCAGAGTATTCAGGAAAGCCGGCTTTGTTATTAAAGTGTTCACCAGACTGCTGTACCTGTGTGAAGACAACATGTACAGTGACTACTATGTCCTGGATGATGCCAGTATAAACACACTGAGTGTGAAGTCTTCATAGTGAGCCACAAGAATGTGTCCTCTGGAAGAGGGCTGTACCCATGATGATGTGAAGGGCGTGCTGTAGGGACTGTGCTCCAAGTAGCATGTAGGAATTTAAAAAGCCAAAATATCGTTTTGTTTTTAAAAAATACAAATAGAAACCAAACTCTTTTGAGGATATTTATCAACCCTTTACACTGTAATACAGGTCACACACCAATTATGATGGAAAATATTTTTTATACTCCCTTGCAGGAAGCTATGATTTTTAACAGCGAACATCAGGCAATCCAGTATAGTGATCTCAAAAGAAAGGGAAACCAAGTGAGAGAAATCCCTTGATTATCTAGTCTTACAGCCTGGAAAAATATCCCTGGCTGCTGCACAAGCAAGCAACCCAAGAAGGACTCATCAGTTTCCATGAATTGAAGAAATGGAATGGAGTATCTCAAAAGCAAGGGCTATAAGAGTTAACACAGTAGAGTGAGAGAAGACAGTGCACACAGAGAAAGCACCAGAGACCTTCAGAAGGTGCCATTGAAGTCTTCAACCACATATTGATTGATCAGCATGTATGTGCAAAGTACCCAGGAAACGAACCACTCTGAAAAAGCAGAAAGAACATATATTCAAGCTACGATGTACAAGGTACAATACTGAGAGATGCTATGAACAAAATCTTGAATGATTCTGAAAGCCTCAAAAGAAGGCAGGAATGCGCAGAATCTACCAAAAAGAATTGGCTGACATTGAAAAATTTCAAGAAGTACCTTATGGACAAGAGCCTATGGTAATGAAAGAAGAAGTTCAAGCTCTGCTGAAGGCACTGAAAAAAAAAAAAAGAAATAAAACCACCAAGGCTCCAGGAATCGATGGGATACCAATTGACATGTTTCAGCTAACAGATGCAAAGGAAATTTAGAGGATTGACTGGCTGGCTGGAAGAGAACCATATTTGTTCCCATTCTTAAGAAAGGTGATCCAACAGAATGTGAAAATTTCCCAACATTATCATTAATGTTACATCCAAGCAAAATCTGTCTGGAATCACCCAAAAGTGGCTAGAAGAGTATAGAACTACCAGAGTTCAAGCTGGATTGCTATTAGCTGGGTCCTGGCTGAAAGTAGAGGATACCAAAAAAATATCTATTTGTGTTTTATTGACTAGCAGAATTATTTGACTGTGTAGACCATAACAAACCATATCTAACTTTGAGACAAATGGGAATCTCAGAACACTAAATTAGGCTTATATGAAACCTATTTGTAGACCAAGAAGCTGTTATTCAAATGCAGTATGGTGTCAAATCAGGAAGGGTGTACATCAGGGTTGGTTGTATCCTTTCTCCAGACAATTCAATCTGATTATGAGCAAGTCATTGGAAAGCTGGACTCAGTGAAGAATGGGGCATCAGAATCAGAGGAAAACTCATCAGCAACCTGCATTATACAGATGATAAAACTTTGCTTGCTGAAAGTGAGAAGGACTTGAAGCAGCTAGTGCAGAAGATCAAAGATTACCACCTTTAAAATGAACTACATCTCTGTGTCAAGGAGAAAAATACTGCATCATGATAAATGGACAGAGAAAAGATTCAAAGTGCCAATAATTTCATTAGCTTGGATCTGCAGTCAACACTCTAGATGAGGTAACATATTGCATTGGGCAAGTCTTTTGTCAGGGATCTCTTCCAGTGTGATGAGGAGCAGTGGTGAACCTTCTCTAGTCCTGATGCTGCATTGTTCTGTGTCTCAGATTATTTTTCCATGTATAGATTAAATAAGTAAGATGAAAGAATATAGTCCCAAACTACATCTTTTTTAGTGCAGAACCTCTTTTACTGTTTTGAAGATTGCTTCTTGATCAATTTGTATGTTCCTTGTGAGCACAATTAAGTGTTCTGGAGTTTCCATCCTTCTTAATGTGACTGATGCATAAAATACAATAAAACATTTTTCTGGTTTTCTCTGCTTTGCGTTGAGATCCTTCAGATATCAGCAATGATATATTCCATCCTATATCCTCCTTTGAATCCAGCTAGAATTTCTGGAATTTTCAGTTGTAGCTATATCTATAGCTAATTTAGAGTCATCTGTAGTAAAATTTTGCTAGCATGTTTGTGAAACTAGCTGCTTAGGAAAACCTTGAAAATCAGAAGACATTTCCCTCCATGGAAATTTGAAGAATGAATGAGATATATACATTTCCAAAGGAGTTAAGGGAATAGCAGAAGTAAACTTTTTTTTTCTTGTCATATATGTGCATAATTTTAAAGAAACACTATTTCCAGGGCAGTTAATAAATGCAATAAAACTTTTTCTCATCTGAGTACTTAAACTCTTTAGGATAACCCTTTAAAAACCCACTGCCTTTGAGTTGATTGCAACTCATGAGCTCTCTGAGGTTGTGAACTTTTAAAGGAGGAGATTGCCTCTCTTTCTTCTGAGGGGCAGCTGTTAGATTCAAACTGCTGACTTTGCAGTTAGCAGTCCAGCATGTTCTCCACTACACCACCAGAATTCCTTCCTTTAGCATTGTTGTTATTGTTAGGTGCCATCAAGTCAAGTAAGACTCATAATAAACATATGAACAACAGATCAGAACCCTGTCCTATCCTGTGCTAGCCTCACAGTCTGACACACTCAGGGCCATTGCTGTAGTCAGCATGTCAGTCCACCTGGTCGAGGGTCTTTCACTCTCGCCATTCCCCTACTTTTCCAAGCATGATATCCATCTCAAAGGAATATCCTCTCCTAGCAACATGCACAAAGTATGTGAGAACTAGTTTTATTTTGTCCAAGAAGCCCTCTGAGTGCCCCCTCTACAAGACATATCTGTCTTTCCTTTTGTCAGTCCATGGAATATTCAGTACTCTTCTCCAGCACTACAGTTCAATGTTAAACAGCTTCACAGATGGTTGTAATGAGAATCACTTCAGAAGATTATTTAATACTGACGCTTACACTTAAAAATGATGTTTCAGGATGTTGAGAATGAAGTCTTGAAATGTGTCTTTTTGTCAAGGTCTCCAGCTTGTTTCTAATGTGCAGACTTGATTGGGAAAACACTGCAGAAAGTTTTCTGTCTCCCGTAACAGTGAAATCCCACACTTAATAGACTGACATTACATTTCTCAGAACTTTTAAAATGCAAAAAAGTTGATAACCTATTTTTTTAGTATGAAGGGATTATTCAGGTTAATGATATTTTCTCTGCATGTTTCATTAAATATTTTTTTATACATATGTATGTAAATACCCAATTTTTCCTTTTCAGAAAGCTGTATGTGATGGCATCTGTGTTTGTCTGTTTACTCCTTTCTGGACTGGCTGTGTTTTTCCTTTTCCCTCGCTCAATCGATGTGAAATACATTGGAGTAAAATCAGCGTATGTCAGTTATGATGACCAAAAGCGTACAATATATTTAAATATCACAGTAAGTATGAACTCATAAAAATATTTGACCTATTTTTTTTATCCTCTTAAGTTATCCTTGTTTCGATAATATATTTTAAATGTAATGCTAGTTATCCGTCTGCCCCTACCACATACCTAAAGCACTCCAGCTGCACCCTCTCCAAGACATACCAAGTTATCTGTCTATTTTGGAGAGGGTGCAGCCTTAGTGCTCTCTGGAGGCAAGAATGATGAATCTTTGCCTCATATACTTTGGGCTCGTTGCTAGGAGGTGCTATTCCTTGGAGAGGGACATGATTCTGGGAAGGGTAAAGGGTCTGTGAAGGAGAGGAAGACCCTTAACAAGGTGGACTGACACAGTGACTGCTGCAGTTGGCTCTTGTGTGTCAGGAAGCATGAGGATGGCACGGGAGAGAGCAAAGTTCAGATCTTTTGTTCGCAGTGTCACCATGAGTCCTCCTACGCAACTCAGCAGCACCTAACAACAATGCTAGCTAGTTTGCTTTTCCTATGTCTTCTGCTGAAAATTTGCAAATAATTCTGTGCTGTCAGTTCTTTGTATGCCAGATGTGCTACAGTAGCATTTAGCATTTGAAGATCTCTTCAGAAAGATAAAGTAAACAGGTGATACCTAGCAACATAAGATAAAGTTCAAATATTACTTGATTAACATCTCTTCGGGCAACATTTGAACATGTATGAGTTAGCACAAAGGTTTTTTGTTGGTGATTTTCAAAGAAAAACCATCTCTCCTTTTATTTCTTTCTTCTCCCTTGATAGTTTTAAAGACTCCAAGTCCAGACTTTACTGCAGCAGCATGATGCGTATAGGGGAGGTAGAAGACATGGCCCTGGGCGGGGTTCTCAGGCATTGTCTAGCAGGCAGGTGCATGGTGGCAGCAGCTCATGGGTGTGGGCTACTGCTGCCATTTGGGCAGGACCCTGGCTGGTGTGGGGCACTCTACTCCTTTGCTATCTCTTGTTCCCAGCCCTGCCCTGTTAGCCTCTGCCAATAGAACTAGCATTGCTGACAGCAGCAGGAACGACAAGGACAATCAGAACTACCTTTTGTACAATTTTAATATGAAACTCACAGTGTCTAACAGCATTTTATTTCACAAAACATACTGTGAACTTCAAATGATGCATACATATATTTGCAAACATTTGATTTTGAATAAATGGGCCCTGTCAAAGTGTTAACATACTTGATTCAATAAATGTTATGATTATAACTTGTTCTCTTCCTTGTATTTTATGAAGTACAATTTTTGCTGTTTTTAACAGATCATTCTTTTATTTTAAAGATTTCATTTAAAGATAAAATCCAAGTGACAGATTTTTCTGTTGTAAATTATTATGTGTAAACATAATATGTTTGCTAGGGCATTGAGTTTGTGAAGGATTCTATAATCTTTTTTTAATTAA